GTGAATGTCTGTTAGTGTAAAGCACTTTGGGGTCCGGAGGGACTTGAAAAAGCGCTCTATAAGTTCAGTACCATTTACCATTTAAGAAACAAAAATGAGAAATAATAAAAAATATCTTATCATTGGTGGGCCATACGGAGGTCACCTGTAAGTTGGATGTGGCCAGCGAGCCACCAGTTGACTAGCCCTTCTTTAATGCTTTTAAAAAACAATAATTGGGTAAGCAAGTTTGAATTTATTGTAGCTTTTGTTTAAACCAAACATGATCATATTAATAGACGTATCCTCCAGTATAAGCTCTACAAACCTACTAATATTTGGTAAAATGTTTGTTAGCAAGTTTCACCATGGCCACATTTGAATTTATCTTTTCAAAATATTGGCTGACTATCTGACTCCTTTTTCTGTCAGACTTGGTAGCACTCATGGATTTCCTGGTAGACCAGCCTTTAAGAGTAATCCACACATTTTCAATAGAGTTGAAGTCACGACTTTAGAAAGGCCATTCCAGTAGCTTAATGTTAGCCTGTTCTATCCAGTGAGGAAACAGTTATGATGTATGTTTAGGGTCTTAAATGATCCTGTTGGAACTTTAAATTGTGTCTAAGTTTCAATCTTCTAGCTGTTGATTTGAGGTGAATTTGAAGAATTCAGAGGTCGTCTTCCTTCCATCATCTTTTGTGTAATGCATCAATACCAAAACATGATGCTACCACCACTATGCTTTGACAATTACTTCTGATTCACTCAAGCTTAAATGCATCACTTTTACGAACAGGGGCTAATTTCTTGGTTTACATCTTTGCAGTCCATGGTGATGTAAAACTAATTTCATTCTGGACAGTGACACTTGTGTATCTTGTAGTCCTTGATAGGGTTTAGCCTTGGTGGTTCCTGGATTTATTCTGCACATCCTGACCAATTTGTTTTCATTTGAGGGGAAAGATGAGTATTTGTCAATTCAGTAAGTGCTCTGTAACAAAATGATGCTGGCAAAGAGAAGCTACCAGCTGCAGCCAATCAGTATTACTAATGAGAAGTTAATGGACCTTGGTCTAATCTAGACCCTTTAGCACCACTTACGGAAATGTTTAGGTGATTGTATGAATATATGTTTGAGCCTGTATGAATAATTTAGCTTTTGTGTGGGTTAGAGAAAATGCACAATAAATTTAAACCTCTGCATCTAAGTTTTGTTTTTAAAATAATAAGTTTTATGTTGTGGAATCATTCCATCCTGGACTAATTACCCATCATAACCCAGCCATAATAACTTATGTAAACCTCTGACTGCAGTGTTTCTCCTGAACTAAGAAAAATATCTCCCTGTAGGAACTTCCATGTGTGGAATGACTGCTGGATGGCCAGACCAGACCTTCCTCCTGGTAATGGAGGCTGGCAGGCTGTTGACTCCACCCCCCAGGAGACGTCTCAGGGCATCTTCTGCTGCGGCCCCGCCTCCATCAGTGCCATCCGCTCTGGTCACGTGTACCTCAAACACGACACACCTTTTGTCTTTGCTGAGGTCAGTGCTTTACTTTGCTTTTTTGTGTGTTATTATTATTATTTTTAAAACACCATATTTTTATTTGGAACTGCAGTATTATCCTATTTTATGGTTCCAAACTGTTGTGTTGTTAGTATTAAGAATTATGTTAAGAGCCCATAATTTGCAATGGGGTTTTGGGGAGGGGATTTCATAATCAATGATTTCAACAAACCTATTGCAAAAAACACAACAATAAGCTTTTATTAGCTTTAAAACCAAGCTTTCGAAGGCGTGATCTCATTTGGTGTTTCCTGTTCAGGTCAACAGTGATAAAATCTACTGGAAAAGGAACCAGGATGGTACATTCAGCCAGGTCTATAGTGAGAAGAAAGCTGTCGGCCACTGYATCAGCACCAAAGCAGTGGGCTCTGATGAACGAGAGGACATCACAAACCTGTACAAACATCCAGAAGGTACAGGRAAGGACACATAACTTGGTTTACTGCAAGTCTCAAATAAATAGTTGTGACTAGATTAATTGATCTTGTGTTTTTTTACAATTTTAAACTATGTGTCTTTGTTATCCTTTTTTGGAAAGCCTGTGCTGGAGCTCTTGTGTTCTTGAATAAATCCTGGAGTCAGAAAGCGGTTCACTCACCTCCTCCTTATCTCCTCCAGATTCAGAGGAGGAACGCATTGCCGTGGAGACAGCAAGTCGCTACGGCAGCAAGCCAGACACCTACTGTGCTGCCGCGGCAGAGGATGTGCGTGTGGAGGTGAAGATAGACGGCGAGGGGCCCAAGATGGGCTGTGACGCCAAGCTGAGCATTGTGGTAAAGAACCAGAGCTCGGAGCCCCGTCGGACCACTCTGCACAGCCAGGTGGCTGTCATGCACTACACTGGTGTGCTGAAGAACGCCATCAAAAAGGATCAGATACCTGTGGAGCTTCTACCCAATGAAGGTTGGAGTTTTATTGTCCACCTTTATGTTAGGGCACAAACATGAAAAAACAAAAATGATCTGTTTTGAAAGGGAAATTAAGTTGATATAAGTTTGGAAGGGGGGGGGGGACAAAACTTTACTATTATTATTTTTTATTGCTATAAGATTGATTCATGTTTTAGTGGCAGATTAATTCAGTAAAGGGAAATTGTAACAAAGTTTGTGAAGTCTTGCTAAACTTACCCACACACCAAATATTTTTGACCCAGTTCTGGCCCGTACATAACACTTTAACATTCTGCCCAGATATTACAAAGAATGATGGGCCTTTGGTGGCCCAGATGTGCTTTGCCAGAGGTGGTCCGTACATAGACCAGCACCACGTAAACCAAAATACAACTGGTCCAGTCATGGTATTGACAAATTTGGACCGCATAAACCAAATTAAACCTGGGCCAGTTGTGGTATTGAGAGAATTGGACCACATAAACCAAATTACAACTGGGCCAGTCATGATATTGACAGATTTGGACTACATAAACCAAATTACAACTGGGTCAGTCGTGATATTNTTGACAGATTTGGACTACATAAACCAAATTACAACTGGGTCAGTCGTGATATTGAAGATTTGGACCACATAAACCAAATTACAACTGGGCCAGTCGTGGTATTGACAGATTTGGACCACATAAACCAAATTAAAACTGGGCCAGTCATGGTATTGACAGATTTGGACCACATAAACCTAATTACAACTGGGCCATTTGTGGTATTGACAGATTTGGACCACATAAACCAAACTGCAACTGGGCCAGTTGTTGCATTCCAGTGCCATAATTGCCTGACCTGGCCCACATCTGCTTCACAAACCACTTGTCATGCCAGCAGTCAGCTAGCTCTGCCAGCTTGACACCAGATTTGACCCACACACATCTGCTGTGTAGGGATATACTAACAAACTAATGCTTGGCCCAGATAGAGCAAAGAATGGCTGCGCTTTGGTGGCCCAGGTGTGGTTTGCCAGAGATGGTCCATGCATGATCTAGCTCCACACAAACCAAACCACTACTGGGCCAGATCTGGTGTCAAGCTGGCACTGCATGACAAGTGGATTGTCAACCAGATGTGGGCCAGGTCTGGAAATGATGGCACTGTTTTTAGGATGTCACGCCACAACTGGCCCAGTTGTGGTTTTGTATGTGACCCAAATCTGTCAATTGTGGTTTATTTTGTGGTGCTGGCCCATGAATGGACTACCTCTGGCAAACCACATCTGGGCTACTAAACATAATTCTTTGGGTTATCTGGGCTGAAGATTAGACTGTTAGTGCCTTGTGTTGGCCAGAACTGACCACGCAAATATTGTTATGTGAGTACTGAAATACAAATTGATCATACAAGACAGCATAGTTGGAAAACACCAAAACACTACTTGTTTCATTTCTTGTTTCAAAAGATAATAGGATTTATTGTGCAAAGATGAACTTTACCAATACATTTGCTGATTGAAACCTATATTAAAATTGCATACAAGATAATCTGTTTGTTTTTAGTTTCAAAAACTAAGCTAGCTAGCTATTAGCTCTATCTTCAAAGTAAGACCTATCTGTCACTGTATGTCAAGTGTATCTGATTGCCCTTGTATACTGTAGCTCTAAATACCATATAAAAAAAAAAAACCCAAAAAAAAAACAATACCATTTGAGCTTCTGGCTGTTAGAACGGCATTGTTTGTTTTTCCAGCATAAAGTTTTAACGAACTGTTAATGAAATCCCCTAAAAACGGATGTTATTGTCTGGTTTAAACTTGGCCTTATATCTTCACTTATACAATGCTTTCTGTTTTTCTCCCTACACAGAGAAAAAGATTGAATGGATCTTACCCTACCAGGAGTACCAGAACCAGTTGGTGGATCAGGCAGCTCTGATGCTGTCTCTGTGTGGAAGAGTCACTGAAACCAAGCAAGTGTTAGCCAATCAGACGAGCTTCAGGCTCCGAACACCTGACCTCAGCATCAAGGTAGAGAGACTGTAATTAATGTTTGAACATGATGTAACCGTTTAAGTTCAGAATTTGTAAATTATTCTATTTAGTTTCTCCTCCTTAATTTTATTTCTTTTTGTTTTTTATGGCAGCCTCTGGGTGATGCTGTAGTTGGGAAGGAGATGTCGGCCAAGATCACCTTCACCAACCCGCTGCCGTGTACACTGAAGGATGTTGTGTTCAGAGTGGAGGGCCTGGGCCTTCAGAAGGGCCATGAAGTGCTTATAGGGTGAGATTTCCTCTTCTGTTGATCATCTCGTTCTTCTCCCTCCACATATTTATCCCTTTGAGTCTAACGTGTCACCTCTTCTCCCCCAATCTTTCAGTGATGTCGGTGGTCACGCCACCTTGACGCTGACAGAGCACTTCATCCCCTCTCAACCCGGACCCAAGAAGCTGGTCGCATCCCTCGACTGTAAACAGCTCACTCAAGTGCACGGAGTGGCTGACATTGTTGTTCTTGACCAGTGAGAGGAAACCAGGCAGTTCAGCATTCCTCTCATTACTTTTTCATTTGAGGATTTAGCCTGAGAGCTTCTAAACATGAAGCGGCTGATAAACAAGTGCAAACAGAGCACACAAAATACTAGGAGGAGGATATGCTAATCATTTAGCATCCCCAGTGGGATTTACCAAACCTGAAACTGATTGCGATGGTTAGACTGGCTGCCTCCACAGTAACAACCAATAGCGCGGTCCGCACCACTTTTGCCCACTAATATCACTTACAATTTTATTTAGTTTGGGCAGCAATTTAACCCTGGTTATTTGGGATCTTAGTAAATCAGCCCCACAGTGTGTGTCTTGTTTATATTCTTTTTATAATATCCTGAAAAGACAATAATTGTAGAATTATCAGTATTTTTATTATTACTATTATTATTTATAACTTTAAGTATTTTAAACTTACATTTCTGACTTGCTGTCWTGAAATAGACAGCAGGCTTTTAAAATGAGAAAGGTGCTTTACATAAAAGCATGCGAGCGTTGAAGTTATAAATCTGTTCTTACAAAGGTGCAATTTAAAACCACTGAACAAATCACATGAAAGTGCTGTGTCACGTGTCTAAATGTGAAAAGTGTTGAAAGGATCGTCACACGGTTGAAATGGAGGAGGTGCAAAGAAAATCCTGATGAAATCGGCCTCCAAGATTAAATATGACAACAGTCACACAACAGAATTTTTACAAACTGATAAAAACAAATCATTTTTGTGGCTAGAATTGTTTATCTATAAGGAGAAACATCATTTTGTGAGTCGTGTTGGTGCTCTGATAATCTTGTTGTTGAACGCCAAATGCCCTCCATCCAATAGATGTAAGTTTGTGTTATTTGTATGTTTGTCCATCGTTTGTGAACAATTACAGTGAACGCAGATTTCTTGCAAATCAAAGCAGAGGAGCACTCATGCTGAGCTTCTCCTGGTTCTAGTCATTTTTTATCTTTAGCACTCTACAATGTGAAAAAAAAAACTAAATATTAACCATTATTTATCTTATGTATTTTTGTATAATCTATGTTGTGACTCTAATAAAACTCTGTAAATTTTTGACTTAGCCCATGGTTTGTTTTTTATTATCAAGAATTACTAAACAAGTTAAGCAAAAAGGATTTTAAGCAGATGTGTAACTTTCCATTTTAACAATAGATTTTGAAATATGTCTTTGCAGACATGTAGTTTGCAACATCAAGGACATGCACTAACTATACCCTAGGATTTTCATCCATCTATCTATTTCTTTTCCTTTCTGGGTTGTGGGAGGGCTGCTGCCTTTCTCCATCAGTCACTGTGAGGGAGGCGGGGGGCACCTTGGATAGATCAAAACTTCATCACAGGGACATACAGAGGCAAACATGTAAGTTTATGATTTTGGGGAGGAAACCAGAGTACCTGGAGAAGAGCAACATGTGCACTGCAAACTCCTCCCAGAAAGGCTGGGAATGGATCCTGAGACTTTGCTGTGAGGCGAGAGCTCCAGATTGTTTGGAGCCCTTGAGTTCAGGTGGCACCCCTTGTGTGATTTTCTAAAACTCACTACCAATTTACATCCATTCACATGTCAGATTCAACTGTTTTGTCTCGTATTTTTTTATATTTAGAAACCATTGTCCACTTAAAATAGTTAACAATTAAATTTATTTGAAATAAGTCTGACTCACACCTGCCAACGTTTGAATGAGGAACACCTGTTATGTTAGTGAGCAGCTGTGGAGAAAAGCAATTATTTTTCTAAACTGATCTTACTTATTTTTTAACATTTTTGTGTTGCTTTGTTGTTTTATTCATTCACTTGACTGAATTGTGAAGCACTTTGGTGAACTCATGTTGTCTGTATGTGATTTAAATTGACATTGACACATCTAGGAGGGATCCATTGTTATTCTACTTTAACAAATTTTGTAAAAGATCTACTCAAAACAAAACATTTTCCAGCCATTTGAAAAGCATTTTTCAAAATTCTTGGAATTAACACAACATAAAATCAGCATTTTACTGAGAAACAGAACAATTTGTCTTTACTGACTACGCCACTGGCCGACCCTATGCCCGCCTTAAGATTTCACAGCTTCACAAATATTCATGTCACAAAATGGGTTTTGAGATTAAACAAGTCATCATGAACCCCATTTTATTTATTTTTTATCAAAGTAAATTTCTTCATAGAAATTTTAGTCTGCACAGTTTGCACAGCAGGATTTCTATTTCAGCTGATGGGAACTGACTGTTCTTCCATCCTCTCTCCATCTATTCATTTTTGCTTTCCCATTTGTCATCAAGGCCACAGATTGTGGACTAACAGGGACTAACTGAGTTCATTATGGGACCTGGAAAATATAATAGCCCCATAAATCTATTATATAATCTATATCAAGATTTTAATATCAGGTTTTTCTATTTCATTTTTTTATTTTCCCATTATTTCTATGAAATTTACGAAAGATTAAATG